CTTATTTATTTATTTTAGGCTATACTATACATTTTTGCAACCAGTTATTGGTGTGATTATTTAGTTGTTAAATAAGGAACAAGGAAGGTTTTTTTGTGCCATTTACAGGGAGAATATTCGTATTTTTTGTTGTTTTCCAGTAATTCTTGTCTTGGGAGCACCCTTTGATTTTACATCTGTAGGTAGTTATCAGTTAAAGTAACTGACCTTTATGTTACGCTGTACATTCCCTCCCCCCACCTACAATCCCTGCCAGTACGAGACTCGAACCCACAACCTTTGGGTTACCATTAGGCCACGACTTCCCCTATATGCATACATTAATAAGAAATATTAAAGTTACATTTTCCTTTAATATTCTGTAATGAAGGAGATCCCAGTAATCCCAGACAGAAGTTGTGAAATGGCTCCATTACACCAGACATCTGCTCAGGGGGCCAGTGGAAGAGCCTCTTTTCCTTCTAATGGAGGAAGAGGACAAGGAAAAGGCCCTCATCAATCTCCTGGAACAATCAGAAGCTTCCAGAGTGCCCTTCATATTTCATCTTGTGTTCAGGGGAGTTATTTTTGTAGGATCGTCATTACAAAATGGGCCTAAGAGTGAATTGTTCATTTGATTGTAATGCTCTCTTGGCGGGCCTTCCCGCATGTACTATCAAGCCTCTGCAACTGATCCAGAATGCAGCAGCAAACTGTGAGTACATTAAACAAACAACTCAAGATATTCATACCTCCACAGACAACTGCATGTTGAAGTGGATTTGAAGATGACTTATTCATTTGACCAGTTTGGCTGGCTTAAACATGCTGGTCAAGCAGAAAATTGCTGGTAATTGCTGTAACACTTGTTGCACTGCTGCAGCTCAGGTAATGTGTCAACTCTCTGAATCCTTATATGTCTCTACAAGAGATGAAGCCACACACAATTATCTCAATGATTGGGATTAAAATAACTAAACTACAAGGTAATATTAACACAAACAATGCATATAACAGAGGGAATTAAAGCAAACGATTTATTTTTATGAATAATAAACGTCTTCAAAACTTCACTGCAAGGCCCATTTACAGCATGCATCCGAAAATTAATCGAAACATCCACAGAAAAAAGTTATATACTATAAAGTATTATCAACAAATTCAAGCTTCAATATAAGATAATAAAGCCAAGCACACATTAAGTACTTAGCAGATAAATGCTTAAAGTAATATATACGATAATTATTAAACATATGATAGCAAAAACATTGCAGACTACTCACCCTGCTCTCTCATTGTCAATAACTCCGCCCCTCGCTTCCGGTTCTGTGGCTGCGGTTCTGAAACTGCTGGTGCTGCGGGTCTGCAGCTGGATACTATCAGGGCTCTAATTGAGAGCCTTTTTCACATTTCCGGGTTTCTCAGCGGGTTAACTTGAAGAACAGTGAATGGGAGAGCACCACAAATATATTTTTTGCATTCCCATTTGCTCAAATAGCAAACGAAAAACAACACGATAGTGTTTTCATTACTTTCAATAAAAGGAAAAAAATTGAGAGACTGATAACGGCAGTCACATTTCATGATTATTTATTTTACTTTATAATTTACTATTAATTTATTCTTCATTATTGTCTATTCTGTATTATTCTACCCTTGATATTACATATTCAACTTGCTATTATTCATCTATTGTTATTCATTTATTTATTATGGTATTATACATATAATTTATGCTATTATAAATCTATTATATACTGTTGTACTCGCTTTTTATATTATTCACTTTACTACAACTTGTACTACATATACTTTTTAATATTACATTTCACTTTTACTGTGCACTGTATCAGTGCATAATATTTTACCATTGTAACTGTAAGTTCCCTTTCATGGGAACTTCGAACTGCGTCCTCTAGG